TCATATACTGGGACCTGGGAAAGAGCAGAACGTGTTTGTTCTAGCAGTGCATAACCAGTGCTTCTCTCACAGAACAGAAAACAAAGCCCACTGAATTGAAAAGACAAGAGAAACCATTCCAGTTTAAAGTAGAGAGCACCCAGAACATCTAGTCTCGTGGCAGCTTTCAGTCCCAAACCTGTGAGACAACCACAGAAAATAAACCCATGTTGAGTAGCTGTGCTTCTGACAGATCTCTGTTCTGTTCCTGCAGCTCTCACCCTGACCTGGAGAACGGTCCTGAACCTTAATCAGCTTCAGGCTGAGATTTCCAAACAGGCTAATTTTATTAGGAGAAAAGTGGTCTAGAAAGGAAGGAGCATCTTTTAACTGAGACCTGCAGCAGAGATTTGAGAGATGCTGGTTTAATCCCCATCACACATTCTGTGCCTTAGAGCAGGTAAATCCTGGAGTCAATGATCTACAAAAGAAACCATGATCACTGTTTTCTCCTACTTTTCTTGACTGTTTAGACTGTAAGCTCTTTGGGGCAGACACATTGAGGAGGCTCAAATGTTGGTTGGGGCCTCTAGGTGCTATCCATCAGTATATAAATATTAAACTACAGGTAAACCCTTGTGTTTGCAGATTTATTATTTTAAAAAAAGTAAAACTGTCTTGAACATTAGAACCTTAAAATAGCCTTCAATGTAGCCTAAGCATGATCTGCTTCAGAACACCACTTCATCTACAATTCAGGCTCCTTTTCCTGAAGTGTGATTTGTTGGTAACTAAGGCTTTTATTCTCTTTATCTGATTAGTTAAGTTAGTCTGTTTCAGTTAAATCTTGAACTTACAAAAGAACTATTTTAAGTTGTATGGGGATGAGTTGCACACTTGGGCCACTCGAGGGCACTATATAGCTTTGAAAAAAAATTACCACAACCAAATTCCTGCAAGTGCCTGCCTGCAGCAGTGACTTCTGGAAGTGGTGGGCTGGACACAACACTTCTGCTGCTATGGCTACCTCCAGCAGAAGCATAAGCTGAAAACTGTGCAAGAGACGGGAAGAGTTTAGTCTTTCCAGGCTATTTTATTGACAAAAAGCAGGATATTATTGCTAATGGAAGGATCAGTGATTAGCTCAGGGAGTAGCAACAATGTTCTACATTTAAAATGTAGGGTAAGTGTCAAGAACAATTAGCTTTTGAAATTAATATTATTAACTCAACCCAGTTGTAGCAGACAGGTGACTACTGCCCAAGAAGAGCCTCAGCTGTCAGCAAGGTGAAGAGTAACTGGTTAGCAATCTGTGTCTTTAGTGAGGGTGCTCCCTGGAGCCCCTGGGTGGAGCTCAGCATGGCAGCTGAGGCTGCAGTGCTAACAAGCAGCTTCAGTGCCCACTGAGCTGCTTCCTGACAGGCTCCTATGGCTGTAATGCTGCTGTTAAAAGTTTTAAATTAACCCAATTACTCAGAAAAAAAAAAAAAAAAATCAGAGAAATTGAGCTTAGTGTGGTTCTTCAACAAAAAGGAGAGGGGAAGAAGTTCTTACTATAGCAAGCTCAGTGCTCCTGCTCTGCCCTGAAAAATGCTTCACAGCCCTCCATGGAAAAATGAGGGGAGAAATTTCTTTATATTTGAGGGAACACTATTGCTATAGCCAGAAGAGGATGCAGGGATGAAATAAATGCAATACAAATTGTATTGTTACCTGGTAACACTGAGGTGGTCCTTCTCTGGTGTGAACCTCTCCTTCCCAGTTACTTGGTCACTTCCAGTACCACATTGCTCAGTGAGACACAAGGCCCATCAGAATTGGTCAATGTATTTCAAAACAAAGACAGACTTTTAATCTCTATTCTGTTGGCTGTCTTCAAATTCAGATAGGAAGCCTAACATGCCTTCTGGTTTTAATTGAGGGCTTTCACCATGCTTCAGAAGCAAGAGTTCTGTCAATGATGCACCCAAAGGAGTCTGAAAAATTAATTGCAAAACTGCATCCTCCACCCCACTCCCATCCAAAAAAAGCCCTCCAGCAGTTTGCCCATTTCAGATCCAAGCAGACACTCAAACATCTCTCAAAGCAGTTATTGTGGGACTGTTGCAACAGCCCTGACAGTGTTTGGATAATTTTCACTGTTTGTTTACTGCTGGTAGGGCCGTTCCTGCCATGAATGAGCAGCACTGCTTTCTTTTTCTTCCCCAATACAGGCTACATGCTAGAAAATGAGGCCCAGTAAGGGGCTGGTTTATTTGAGGAGAACCCTGTTCCTACAGCGACCTTCACTTTCACAGGCACCTGAGTTAATGCACTTTTCTGAGTAACAGGGTAAGAATTAAATCAGGTATTTTTAAAGAGAAGAGTCTAATCCAAGACCTTTCCCAGTAATCGCCCACATTTATGGAGATCCCATGCCCTCACATCCATGGCTAAAACCTCCTTCTGTACAGAATTACTGACATACCCCTCATGGCAGTAAGGAACTGGAAAAGACACTTCATTTTGTTGATATTTTCCAACTTACATTCAAGTGGGTGCATGACTTGAAATTGAGGTATCTACATGGGGTTTGGTTATATATACTTTATATACCCTATTTAACACATGTCAAACCGAATTATTCCTACAACACTTACAACAGCAACCCATACTTGTTCCCTTCTACCCTAACCTCAAAAGACAGGACCCTCTCTGATACTACATGGCTAAAAATTCCTCCCAGGACAAGTACTTTTTGATCAAGAAACTTCTATACTCAGTCTTTGACAAAAAATTGCCAGTCTTCTGCTTTTAAAGTGGAAAAGGAAAGTACTGGGCGCAGCTGGGGATTTCTTCATTCATAAACTCAGTTGTTTACCAGCACTATGAATCTCTGAGAAAGAAAACATCTGGGTGTTTGGCTGTATGTTACCTTTTACACTAAGTGGCAGAGAAAAATCTCTCCCCTGAAATACACTAAAAGCTTCTCCCATCCTTCAGGGACACGGGGTGACAAAACCACTTTAGGAAGGAAGGAGCCGCAGCAGGAGGCACTGTGCTTCTGACAGGAAAACACCACCAAAGTTTAGTTAAAAAGAAAACCCAGACACGGAGCTACATGAACACGTATTTACTGCAAGTAGCTCTATGGAAAGCCAAGTCAGATAAATATAAACACTATACAGAGCTTCAAGCCAGTCTCCCAAAACCGCAAACGCGATGTGTTTTACAAAGAAAACAACATAACAATATTTACAATGGAAGACAAAGCCAGATCAATCAGCTCGACTTTAAAACAGATCTGTGAAGCAGAAATAGCAAATATAATGAACAGTTTCAACCATATATGTTTTAGTTTGTACAGACAATAACTGTCCAATATCAAATTAAATTTACAGGACAAACATTGTTCTATCATTGGTATTTTTTGTACTATACAGCAGCATAAACGGGTAGCTGGAAGGTAGTATATATAGTGATATGTTTTACATCATCTGAAAATGTTCTTCCAGCACAATACTGAATAAATTAGTTGCTGTAAACTAAGAGATTCAAAAAGATTGCATATTTATTATGCCGTACCTATTAGTATTTGTACCACTATATTTGAGGTTACCCATTTACTTATTTATTCAGCATTTATTAAATCAGTGCTGTATATTGTACAATGGCAGCCTCAGGGATCTAATATGAAATAAGTATGTAACAAATTTCTTCTAAACAACCTTTTCCTTTCACATTAAATGTTTAGAACTATCTTCATCCAAATTTTGATTTCTTACAAAAGATGTAAAGCTTTATAAAAAGCTGTCTACATATTGCATTATTATTTTACGAGACCAAACGAAAGCTATACGGCAAGACAGTATCATGGTCTGTAAGAGTGGTTGTGTTTTTAATTCATGTATGTTTAGCAGCAACAAGTAACTGTACCAACTTTAACTTCTCTTCCAGAATCAAAAACAGGTCTGTGCTTTTAAACCCTGTAGCAACAGTTTTTCCTGTCACTAGACACCGCGTAAAGTGATTGGTACCATGTTTAAAAAAAATAATAATAGTTATTGGTATTTTGGTGACATGTACGTTTTCATACTACTCAAAAATAGATTTGGGTCCACGTCGCCGAATGATCGAAGCTGACAGTGTCTGTGCTGTGGTACAGTCTGTACCAGCAATTCCAAGGTTGTGTGTGAGAGGCGAGGCAGCCTGACAGATCAGTTGTACAATATACAATGAGGAGATTACCAGCTGTGTGGTGCAGTACAGCATCAGGATTTGTGTACCACTTCTAAACCCTTGATCAATCGTCAGTGCCTGTTACGACACATCGCATGTACCAACAACTAGTGTCATGCTCTTTAAATTCATAGCAGTGTTAAAAACCCAAATTCATTTCAACCCAAAAAAAAAAAAAGTTCAGTACAAGAGTGAAGCACATAAATTATAGAAAAATCAGGGCTTATTTTAAAAATGTCAAATAATCATTGTTCACATTTCTGTAAGTGGCATAGAGACAATTGATGAGCCAACATTTTACATTTTTTTCCATTATGCCAGGAAGAAAGAACAAAAATCGTCCCAAATTGTAAGATGGGACTTTGGCTGAAAGTAAGATCAATTAGGGTGGTTTCCCTTTAAAAAGCTACAGCTGACAAGTATAATGCAGGAGTCACAAACGCTGGGTACAACTCTGCAGTTCTCCATTTGAATGCATGAACAAAAACCTCATTTTACACAATTCATATTTATAAACATGTATCTTGAGGGTAAGAACAAAAACAATCTACAAGACAACCAGCCCATTAATCCTACTTTGTACATACCAAAATTCTGAGAGAAAAAAAAAAAAAAAAAAATCAGTTTAAGCTCTGACAGACATTTGATTGAAAATACCCTAGGCTATGATCAAGAAATACCTCTTGTACCATAAAAGCAAAACCATAAAAAAAAAAAAAGGGGAAAAAAAAGGCAGAAGAGGTCTCTCCTCCTCAGACCCGTTCAGTCCCACGGGCTCACCCCTCAAGCCAACATCCACCTCTCCCTTCCTCCTTCTGCCCAGCCACCTGAAAAAAATCCTGAACTGCCAAAATATTTCTAAACGATACATGTTTTAAGCTAACCACTTGTTAATGTACCAGAGAAGCAAAACCCATGTTAAACAGACAATCAGAAACCAGCTTTGACTTCTCAGAATATAAATTAAAAAAAGAATTAATGGGAGAGGCAGGAGGAAGAAAGGGGCATACAGGGGTCTCCTATTAGCATTCACGCTGCCTCCCAAATAGATAGGACATGAAAGACCAAATTCCATCACCAAAGCACAGCTATGAAAAAAATCTCAATTCAAATTAATTCAACTGTTGAGAGCTGATGTCTATGAAAAAATTAATTAAAAGGATGTGTGTCTATGTCCGTGCTGGTGGAAATGAAAGTAGCCGGCTGGAGCTGAGCTTTGCTTCCAAAAGCACCACACAGTTTCTGGAGTTACCAGTGGAAAAGTCTTCTCGTCCAACAATCGTTTCCATGGCAATGCAGTCAGTCTAGAAAGGGGGGGAGAAAAACAGAAAAAAACTCAGTGACATTTTAAATACAAGTTATATTGGAAAAAAACACATTTCTAGTGAGAACACAGGGAGCCTATCCAGGGCAGGAGAAGCAGCTGCTGAGAGCAGAGCGCAGGCCCCTCACGGAGGGAGGGGGCACTGCCAGGGGATAACCCTCGGAAGCCCTCAGCCAGGGAGAAGAGCTGTGAAGTCTGGAGGAAGCTCTGGGGAGCTGCCCGGGGGGCACCCACACCCCTTCCACCACGGAGATCTCCAGGCTCTCCCGGCACCCAGCAGGGTGAGCGCAGAGCAGCTCTGCCCACCCGGAGGTAACGAGGGTTGTGGTGAACACTCCCATGCTCAGCAGGTACTGAGCTGCAGAATAAACACTCCCTGCAACTCCATCCCAAACAAGGAGTGGCAAAAGTCATGACAGCTGCGTGCCCTCTCCTCCACTCTTCAGGAAAAAGCTTAATTTAGTTATAATAAGAAACACCTCAGTGTGTAGCCTTCCCTTTTTCAAGAAAGCCTTACTAAAAGGCAAACAGAATGCAAAAGCACACAGCTACAGCAGACACCCCCCTTTACTGCTGTCAGCAAAAGCCAGGGGCTTCAAACTGACTGGAGCAGGCAAAACACAAAATGTTCAGTAAAATGAGGAGGGAAAAAAAAAAGTGTATTACAGGAAGATATAGTTGGGTGACAAGGCAGAAATGGAAATAGGAGAGAGGATGACCTCAAAGCAGAACGCCAGCTCTGCAATTAACCATGCACACGCCAACCTGAGAGTAACTCCAAAGGTCCCCGACATGGAAGGAACTGATGAAGGGGATGCAAACTGATGAAGGGGATGCAAACTGATGAAGGGGATGCAAACGCTTTCAGCAGCAGCGTGAACACAAATTGAGGAACGTATGAAAAATCACTGTCTGGCTCATCACAAAACACCTTCCACTCCCAACAGTGCCAGTGTGAACATGAATTTTCTGTCTAGAGGGGCACTACCAGCCAAATAGGGGTTATGCTGCGTCCCAGTCCTGACAGACTGTCCTCTTCCACCCTTTTTGTCTTCCTGGCCAAGACTGAGGGCACTGTGTGCTGCCTATTAGGTGGCTGGGGTCACCTTCCCTTCAAGCTCTGAAGTGTGTGTCTGCAGGGTCTGTTTCCTGGCATTATGGGGAAGAAGGAAACAGCAGGTTGCTCTCTGTGAGAGAGAACAGCTAACAGAAGAGATTCAGCCTTCAGAGAACATCACACACAGCAGCATAGTCCACTCCTTCCCTCGAAGCCACAGAGCACGAGCTCTCTGCCACTGAGAACTGCACTATGGGGAACACCTCCCACAGGCACAGCCTGCTGGAACGAAGGAAGGGGTTCAGAACTTGATCCTGCCCATGCTCTTCTGCAGGGTCACAAGGAAATCAGTTAAATCTCATTGCTAAAGAAAGCATAGTGCTCCTCTGCCTCTGCCACAGGAATATGCTGAACAAAACGCACGCTCTGAAGGACAAGGCAGCGTTATTTACAATGCAAACGAGCTGTTTACTTACACAACCAATCAGAGCATGCACACGCAAACTCCACCCCAAGCCAAAGAAGTTCTGACTTCCGTCAAGCTAAAAATACTGTCCCTTCAAAGAAAGAAAAGGAGAAAGAAAAAAAAAAAACACAGAAAACCAACAGCAAAGCTCAGATGAGGTGCCCTGAGCAGCCCCAGCTCTCAGCACAGGCTGCCCACTGCTCCAGACACCAAGCAGCAAGGCCCATGGCAGGGCTGGGAGCCGTGCAGGAGTACAGAGGGGTCCTTCAGCTTCAGGGGAAACTCCCTTTCACCCCTAACACCACCACACCAAGGTCTGGGTTCTAATTCATTTTTCAAATATGCGGTGATTTCAGAAATACAGGAACTTGGATTGCCATAACAGAGGGAGGAGACAGCCAAAGCACACCCGCAACCCCAGACTCTCCCTGAGTATTATTTCACAGCCATCCTAAGATCACTACAAAAAGCCACTGCTTGTTACACACAGTGTGATGTGGTTAGTGATGGCTTTGTTTTCACAAGAGCCAACTGAAGCTATTATTCTTGAAATAGTTTTCCTCTTTAGAAAAATATTATTTTGTTGTAGGACCAAAGGATGAAAATATGCCCCACAGCTTCCAATGAATCACACCTCAGCCACGCATCCAAGCCAACCACTAGAACAGTTAAAGCTTCTATATTAAACTTACATTCAATAAAAATTAACATTTACCAGCATCCCCCCACCCTTTCCTTGCTGTGGACCTGTAAGCTTACATAAAAGGAACTTCAAAAACTGTCTCTGCTTTTGTCAGGACATTTTTCCTCCACGCCTAACACACAAGGCACACCTGAAAGCTGTTGGACAAGTTATTCTAATCTCTCCAAGCACATCCCCAGTTGTTTGAATCAGACAATCCCACGTGGCAGAACTCAGCATTTATACCTAAAACTTTTTGAAAACTTTCATAAACTTAACCCAAATTACATTTAAGATACTTGGAGGGGAAGGGGAAGAGCTTATGAGAAAAAAAAAAAAAAAAAGTCCACACAACAACAAAACCCACATCAAAAATAAAACCAAAGCTTTTTAACCCATAAATTTGATTCTTTCAACAAGCCTGGCATAACTCAGAGGGTAGCACGATAACCAGGGCCAAGGCAAGCTCACCAGGTAACTCTAACCAGAGCCCAGACTAAAACAGTGATTTATAAGAAACCAGAAGAAAGTATCCTCAGCTACACTTCACTACTGCTTATGAAGTCCCTGGACGTCCTGGCTCAAATAGGGAGTTTTACACCAGTGTAAAGGCAAACTCTGGATGTCCCCGCAGCATCCTCCCTCCCCAAAACTGTGCTTGTTAACCAAGACCTCATTACTTTGTTCCTCTCTCTCCCCATGATTATAAACTATACTTCAGCATGTTTCTGCTTCGTTTTTAAGACAGAACTATGAGAACTGTAAATGAACATGAAGGAGTCTCACAAACTTTACCTACAAGCTGATAAATGTCTCAAAGTCTCTCTTGAGTCTTTCAGACATGGAGTTATTGGTTGTCACCACTCCTCTAATCCCCTTGTTAAAGCTGAAAATTTGAGTATTGCAGTTGGAGCAGTGCATCTGGCTGATGCCCAGAGTCATCACATCTTTCTTGGGATAAAAGCATCAGGCATTTTATATATATACACGTAGATACATAGATATATCAAATTATATCTATGTGAATACACATATTAGTATCAGATAGAAAACACAAAAAAAAACCACCTAAAACTTGACCACATGAAAAAGACAATTCCCTCTGAAATCAGAGAGGAGACTGAGGTCTCTCAAAGACCCCTCCCACAGTTCCCACCACTCCTGAGGGTGGCACTCAGGAGTCCATTCCTCACTACAGCAGGGCCACGGCCAGTAAGGTCCACAGCTCACCCACCACCGACCTCCAGGGACCCCACCACAGCCAGTGAGGTCTGTGTCCAGGGTGACTGAGGTCTCCAGCAGAGCCAGGGACATCCTCTGCAGCCACAGACAAACCCTGACACTGATGGCTGAACCACAAAGCTGTAGGAGCTCCAGCTGATGCAGCTTCTCCCAGCACAGCCTCCCAGGAGGACCTGCACTGAACCACATCTCCCATTTTGGTGCTACAGCAGCCTGCAGGGAGGGAGCAGGGACCTGGCTGTCTGGCTTTGTTGGTACAGAGGCACCTCTGCCTGGCTGGGTAAAAGCACCCCACGAGCACACACACCACAGACACAAAGAGGTGCAAAACGGATCTGAAGTGAGAAGAAGGCTGATGGCTGTTGTGTTGCTGATACCTGGAGCTAACCTGTGGTTTTCCACCTGCACAGTTCCTTGCCAGAAGGACCCTTAGGAAGTGACATGGGTTTATTTTGTATGACCACTCTTGCAACCTCACATTAAGCTCCTTGGTGACTCTTCTCTCCCACACCTGATGTTCTTCCATCTTTTGACTAGCCAGTAGGTGACTGTAAACTAATGGAGGACACTACATGTTCAAAGAAAACAATCTGACATTATTTCAGTCTTCATAATAAAAGACTCATCAACCAATAATTTTCTGTGTCAATAGCACAAATAGTAGAATTGCCAATCAAAAGTAAAAACCATTTCATTAGAGATACCATATAATGTATTTGACTCAACACTAACTGAACAGTGAAGGAAGCTGGCAGAGAAATGGGTGAAACTACTCTTCTAAAAGGAAAACAAATTATGAGATGTGAACTGGCTGGAAAGAGAAGAACAGTGCTCACAAAGCAGCCCCATCAGCCCCTTAGGGTTCTCAAAAGATAAATGCCACCAAATAAAATTCAGTGGCCAGATCAGACACAAGTTTGATGATAACTTTCACTTGCAGTGTAAACACGGGGCTGTTTCTGGACTGTCACATGCTCTTCCAAGAAAATCTGCTCGGTCTACCAAAGAAAAATAATCTGATAACTGATCATCAAAACAAGCAGCAAAAAAACGAACTCAAAAAACCCTCTGCACTTTTGAAGCAGCCTAGAAACACACTGTTCTAAGTAGTTTTAATAACAACCTACAGTGGGCTTTTCTTTTTATTAAATTTCAGCTTCCTTAGCAGATTCTACACAAAAACATTATTCAAAATTGATCTCTACTGCTTCAGAACATTGAGAACAATAAAAATTGACCTTCCTATAAACATTTAATGCGGAAAACAAGTCCAGAAATCACCCAAACATTTCCACAGTTCACCTCTTCAAATATATAAGCAAAGTTTAGAAAATTAAACCAACATGCTCTTCATTAAACAATTCTATTTAAATTCATTAGTTTAAATGGGATCAGATTATAAAACCACACACAGCTGTCTGAATTTTTCTGAGGAAAAACAGCCAGAGGAAAAGCATCACAAGCAAGGGCAAAAGAGAAGCTACAGGAGCAAATAGTGAAAGCAGCAGAGTGGCAGCACACCACTGCTCAGAA